GCTTTTGAATGTATGTGCATTAGACATTGAGCTGTTTGGAACAGATGAGTGTGAGATTAGCAGAGGTACTCTGGGCAAAAAATGACAATATGAAAATAGGTATGAAAATAGCCCTGCTTGAGATGATTTCATTTCCTGAAAAGATGCTTAAGAAATAAGAATTTCTTATTTCATTGTAGCTAATCTCAGTATTTCTTTTTTCAAACTAGTGTTTAGTTTGTCTGTGCACATCACTCTAAGGCAAAGCACTGACATTGATTCCATAATGGCTGCAATTAATTGCATAAGTCACTGTTAGTGTAAGTCCTAACTAGCTTTTGTACAAAAGTCCAAGGGAGATATTTTTGTCCTAAATCTTAGTCAGAAATGTAAGTGAGAACATAATTTTTTAAGATTTCTGCTCTGTGATTTGCTTCGGGAGAACAATGGTGAAGAATAGATTAAAATTATACTTTTATGAGTTTTCTAAATTTTAGATAGCTCCATAGGCACTAATGTTGTCTAGCTGACTCTGTCTGACACATACAGAAATGTTTTTCCCCATTGGTCCCTGACATTGTAACCTCCTCCCCTTACCCCTCCCTCCATGAGCTCCCATTGGACCCTGGACTGTGCCCACCCCTAAGATAAAACTCAGTGCACAGAGGTGCTCTGGGCTCTCTTCGGTCCTGATTTCTTCCAAGCCAGACCTTTGTGCCTATCCCCTCCCCCAAATAAATCTGTTCCTGGGAAGTACAGCCAAGTGAGTCTCCTCCTTCCTTTTGCCACCACCCACGACTCCTGATTTGGCAGAGCCCGGCAGGATTCGGTGCTCTGAAGGTTCTGCAGTGGGATCGCCTTTCCCCTGCAGTTCCCCACTCCTGGCAACTGCCCGTGCTGGAGTGGCACCATAGAGCTAGCACAGAGCTCGGGTGCGGCCAAGAGCAGCGTCAATGGAAGGCTGTTTTTATGTGGTTATTCCACACATGAGCATCAGTTACTTGGAGAGGACTTAACAATTTTTAGTTACAGTATTTTTAGTTAATTTCAATTTCAGTTTTAACAGTTAGTAAAAGTGTTTTGACATCTATGCTTGTATTATATTTTAAGTAAAAAGAATATTTTGTTTAGGTCCCAGACCTCATCTCCTGTACTAACAGCATTCTGGCCTCAACTAGAAGGCAGACATTAACTCTTCAACATTGTGATTTTTTTAAATTTTTAATAATAGGAATCAATTTAGCATATGGAATTCCTTTTTTCCTTTAAAAACAAAGTTTTTAAGTATGGTACTTATTTATAGTTGACTTCTATTTTAGACTTTAAAGTTAAAAGCCCTTCATAGAAACTTGCATTTCAGTTTGGTGAATTCAGTGAAGTGAAACTGGCCTTTCCAGTACACCATGTCTGTGAATACCTGTATGGATAATTAATTATGAAAATATCTTTGTGAACTAGATGAGTCATTCTGATTCAGTGTTGTGCATACTGTTTTTTACAGGCCTGTGCTTCTTGACCCTAGGTGGTCAAGACAAGAAAACAAGATTTCTCTTTAACTTCAGTGTGCAATTAGTGTTGAACTCTGCAATATGAAGCTGTTAAAAAAATAGAGGCAAAAATGTAAATGAGCAGTATGTCTAAACTGAGCACTAGGAAAAATATAGATATATTGTTAAATGTAGAGCAATCAACCTTTAGAGAATTTTGAAAGTGGATAAATGGAGGACGATGATTGTTTCAGATGTGGTTGCTTCCTTTTTTTTTTCCCTGCGCTGGGTGGTGATGGAGAGGATGAAGCAGGAAGACCTTGTCCCAGTCAAGTGTGACTGTATTGCTGTTCCCAGACAAAATCTTAGGCAAATAAATAGGTGGCCCAGTTTCAGAGGAATGAAATAACTACAGTAAAGATTAAGGATAAGCACAGACAATTAGGACAGAACCTGAACTTGCAACTGCCCTGAAACATCCAAACAGGACTCTGGCTTTTTTATATCCTTCTAGGCTGGCAAATGATCAGGTGCTTTACAGAACTGATCTGAAAATATCTTAGCAAAAATATTGTTGGACATGTGAAATTAGGTAGATAAATTAGTTAGGTAGGTCTGTTTATTTTTTTACTGTTGCAGTTATATCACAGTTAAAACCTGTCTTCCTTCTATTTTCCATACTAAATCAGTAGATTACATCCTTGCCTTGTGCATCCTCTGCACAATGTTTGGAAACTGCATTAATGAACAAACATAATGTAGGAGCAAAACATACATGGAAGAAGTAAAGACAAGATCTTGCATCTTGAAAAATGCAAAATATTTCAACTTAATGCTTCACCACTCTCCATGAAGTTTGTTTTTTATTTTGAATTAAGAGGTCTTGTTCTGACTCTGCAGATGAAGAATGATAGTTACAGATGGGTTTAATTTCATTGAGAGAGAAAGAGGGGCTGACTTCCTGCATTTTATTAGCCTGTGGAACACTGGGGAAAAGGTGTTTGTTAATTCACTTCAGCAGGCTAAACTGGAAAAATGTCATGCACTTTGGGCTTTCTCTCTCCTGCTATTGCTCTTTTTCTCGAGAAGCTACTACAGATTTTTCCAGATTTGTCTGTAGAAAAATAATGAAAACCAGAATTTACCCTCAATCCAATGGAATTTCAAAATATGTGAACCAAACATCCTTGCAGTTATGTCATTTAGCTTTAATATTTTCCGTTCTCCAGAAAACTGTCCTATTTTGCCCGCATTCTTGAAAGAGAAAGTCTTCTGAGAAATAAAATTAGTTTCATTATTAGTTTTTGTGTTCAAATTAGTAGATGAAGTCTTGTTTCTCATCAGTAGATGAGTATCACTGTTTTTCCATTTAATCTTCCTTTAAAGTTTAATAATTCATCGATCTTTTAAATAAGTTTGGTTTAATGTCATCAACTTTGAATATATTAAGGTAAAATAAGCAATTTGCTACTATTGGTCTATCCAAAGAAAACCAATTTTAAAGTCTGTGCAAGATGTAGAATAAAGATTTTCAGCCTGTTGCAAAACGAAGTAGTAATTAGGATTGCCTTACAGGAAGAGAAGGGTTTTAGCTCCATAAAGTTGCAGAGGTTTTTATTCATCTTAGTTCAGTGCCATGAAAATATGAAAACGATTAACATTCTATTTCTTGAACAAGACAAGTGGAGGAATGTATCCAGTACATGGAGATCAACTGAGATATTTCACTTTCAATGGGAAAGAGAGTGAAACAGATTTACTAAAGGATTAAAATTCTCCTCTATTTCCCTTGTTGTTTAGTTCATAAAATTCCACTTGTCACTGGAACTGGACTTCTCTATGGCATTCTCAGTGACCATGAAGAGTCTCAAGTACTTTAGGTAAAGAACAAAACCCAGCAAAAAAAGGCCCACATCCCAAGATCAGATTTAATTTTTGATTCTAAAGATAGAGATTGTCATAGGCCTTTTGTTTTCTGAGCTCTGGTTCTAAATATGATATAAATAAACTCTTTAGTGACCCAGATGGCCTGCGACTAATCATCATTTTCATTAGTCAGTATTAGTAAATTAGCAGGTTCATTAGGCCCTGCTGGTGTCAGCTGCTACAAGGACAGAAAGGTTTTGGATTTTTCCCTTTTTAAATTGCAGGATCAAATTAACTTTTCTGTAGCCCAATAAGTTGTCCTATAACATTTATAAAAATGTCATACCTGATTAAATGAGCTCAAGGTCTAAATACTGTTGGGAATTGCATAGGCCTGTGTTGTCAGTGGGTATGGGAAATTACTGACTGAAATTGAAGTCTGCATAGATGTCAGTGTTTATTGTAAATTCCTCTGGTAGGTGCAGTGCTATGAGCCATTGAGTATTTCCTCCTAGATTTTAACTGTATTGAACTAATTAAACCAGCGTTTTTCTTCACTTCTATTTCTGATGAATGTGTAGAAGTAATCCCATAGGAATCCTACTTTTCACAAGATCAAAGCTAAAGCTCTACACTGGAAAACACTTCATCACTTTTTTGACATTTTCTTCCTTTACTCACCTCTCAGTGAGTTAAATAGTTAAATAGTTTCAAAAGAAATTATTTAGTTGACACTGATAAGGTAGCCCAGCATGTCACTGATAAGGGAAGAAAGAAGATAACAGTTTCCAAGATGATTATCAGAAATCCAGGAAGCTATTAACATATTGAACAAAGATAAGCAGATAAATAACTTGTGGCAACTTCACAAGTTGAAGATCTGGAATGATCTTCAAGTATTGATTTTGATGAAAGAATCATTAATCCTTGCAAAATACATCTTAAATTGTCTCATCTTTAAGGAAGCAAAATTCTGGCCTTGTGGTACCATTCCTCCTGTTGATTTCTCTAGCCCAGAATATCACACCAAATTCTCAAGAAACGCACAGTGTGAGAAATCAAAATATCCAGGCTTGCAGGAGAGATTGATAGTAAAAAAGGACTTTGCAACTGGCACCCATGGCTAGTTTATTATGGTAGTCAAAATTAAGCTGTGAAGTGTTTTCATAATGTATTAAATAGCATCATAGCTTAAGTAAGAATTTAATAATTTAATGATGCAATTAACCTTCACATACTCCTACCTGTTTATTTATGTAATGATGGATGTTTGATGCTGTGATTTAATATTTATCCCACCATAAAGAAAACACTTCAATAATTAATACCTTATCTCATTAGTCAAGACCTAACTCATTTGCGTAAGATACCTCTCATGTAATTCGAGAAATGTAATGTGAGAAATTCAAATGTACTTCTTCTTTTCAAAAGAATGAAACCGTGGATTGGAGAGACAGATGGACATTTTGGTGGATTTGGAGTTGTCTGGATGATCATACCCACAGATGTTCATGGCTTGATGTCTCTGTGGAGACCAGTGAGGTTCCCTGGGGTCGTTACTGGGACACCAGTGCTGTTTAACACCTTGATCTGTGACATGGACAGTGGGATCCAGGGCAGCCCTGTGGGGTTTGTTGATGATGCCAAGCTGTGTGAGGCAGTCACACACTGGAGGGAAGGGATACCATCCAGTGGGACCTCGACAGGCTGCAGAGCTGGGTCTGTGTGGACCTCATAAAGGTCAGCAAGTCCAAGGGCTGGTGAGTCGGGTCAGCCCTGAGCACAGGAGGGGTAAACTGAGTGACTTGAGAGCAGCTCTGAGGAGAAGACCTGGAGGGGTGGGTGAATGAGAAGCTCAGCTCAACCTGGAAATTTGCCTTGAATCCCAGAAAGCCAAATGTGCCTTTATCTCATCTTTGAAAAGTCATGTTTTGCACAGGTTTTTAAGGCATAATTCTTAAGTAAGAGCAACAATTCTGTTTCTTGTTTAAAATGTATAATTAATACAATCATAAGGAAATGAATCTTTAAATTCTGCCCCAAATTATATTAAAGTATTCCAAACTGTTTTCTGGGTGTAGAAGCAGCAGTTATATAGCAACAGAAGGCCTCAAATTAATTTAAGAATTTATTTATATGCGTGCTTGTGAATACACATACCTGTGTGAAACTTTCACTGGTTTGCTTAACCAGGGCAACCTGATTTTACTTTATTTTGCTTTGTGCTTTTGTTTTATTTTTCTGAATAGCTAGATGCAATTTCAGATTTTGTCAAAATCTATTACTGATATTTTCCCTAATTTCTATTTTCTTCCTTTCTTACTGGAAGAACAATGACAGACAGTTATGGTTGAGGTTATTCACAGCTGTCTTTTTTTGCTCATGGTTTATTAATTTACTTCACATCAGAATATAGAAAAATGTAGCTGTCTGTGAGTAGTAATAGGGAACGGGTAGTCAATTAAATTTTGGAGAGCTTCTTAGTCCCATACTCCAGATAATGCTTAGGATTAAGACAAAAGGTTGGGGCTAAAATCCTTTGTTGTTTTAAGGATTCTTTACAGATACTGTTATCCAAGGTAGGCATATATGTGTTAGAAAAATCTAAACTGTCCATAATGCAGTTTTAACTTTTTGACAGATCTTTCCTGAAATAAATGTATTCCCGTGAATTCATTGTCTTCAATTGCAAATTACAAAACTAATATGATTCATTTTATATTTAAGGTTTTTAATCATCAAGTATTCTGTTTAGTACAGTTGTCTCTTTCCCAAGGAGACTTACCTGTAGAATATTTGAATTCTCCATTCTTTCCTAGATGGCTAATCACCTTCATCACCTACTGGTTTGGGCTAAAAAATATGCAAAGCATTTTGTAGGAACAAGCTAAACTTAATTTCCTAAGCAGTCACTCACCACAGAAGTCTCACAAAATTCAGATATGATAATTTTTGCATGACTGGAGTCATGGGCAGGGAGAGTAGACTTTGTTTCAAACCTCTAAGTAACCTTTCTGTCTGGAAGCAGTACATTTCTAGAACCTTGTACAAAAAGGACCTGTGTGGTGGGACAGACAGTGTATTTATTATGTATTTCCAGTTTATTAAAGACACAAATTCGCAACTCTGGTGACTCAGTACTAAGTTCAAATTATAGTCAGTTCATGTGGTATCCTCATTCTTGGCCATCATGCAAGGAACTGAAACATACTATAACTTTTTACTGCCAGATTTCTCAAAGTTGTCTGCTGGGGCTTCAGGAGTTGAGCAGTTGCCAACCTTAGGACTTCTGTGAGTGAATTTCTGGCTGATTTATGCTCTGATTCACAGTGTATAGTTCACTCCTGTGAGGAACAGGTGATGTTTGATGTGATTTAATGCAAAGGAATTTGTCTATTTCAAGTATAACAGAGCAGCATCTTCAGTGGATCATGGGGACATTGGGACAGGCCATGCTCATGAGGAAAAGGTGCTCATGGTGAGGCTCAGTCTCAGCAGCTTGTGTGTCCTCACCAAGGGCATCCTACGTCAAGTGAGGTGACTCCCTCTGAAGAGAACAGTCCCCAGGAAAATGAACTCCATGGATCACCTCTGCTAAGCCACAGGCAGCTTCTCAAGATCCGTGTTTCTCCGTCCCTTCTGACTGCGTGTGCAAGCTCACCCATTTGTAACAAGGCTTGGGGTGGGAGCCAGGGCTATAATTACCATTCTGTTCAGTGCTGTGCCGCTTGTTTTCCCAGCATAAAGCAGTGGATGTGGGCCTGGTGATGTAATAAACGGGTACAAAAGGTTAAATCTTGTTCAGCATATGGGGAGAAATTTCAGATAAAAGGAGAGAGAGTGCAGCCCATTTGCCAAAAATCTGATTCATGCAAGAAAATCAGAGAGGAGGGAGAGAGTAGAGAAAGGCTGCTGTTATTTTTTAACAAAAGAGGCAACCGGTAGATTCTGCCTTGACTGAAATTACATCGTTTTGAGCATATAATTGTTGGGAAAAAATCATCTGGAAGCAGCTAAAGCTTGCTTTTGCTTTCCCAGAGCATCTATAGTTAGCTGTATTTCATGCTAGCAATCGTAACCATTTAAAAATCAGATAAATTCTCCCTATGATTATAAAATAGAATGATTAAAAAAGAAGTCAGAACACATGAGAATTTCTCTTTTGCCACCAATTAACTTTTGGTGTAATTTTTTTTATCAGACTGAGGCTTCGACAGGTTGCATTATGTGGCTTCCCCTGGGGATTTAGCAAGTTCAGTGATATTTGAGTTTAGCTCATAATTAAGCCCCAGAACTTTTTACTGTCTTTACTGACTGATTTCATTCCTTCAATGCCAGGGATCGAAAGGCACGAGATCCCTGACACACATCATCTCAGGCATATTGCTTAAACTGACAGAGTGAAAGACAGGGTAAGACAAGTTTCAGGAAAATTTCCATTAAGGTTCTGAAATGGGTCTTTGGAAATGGGTGTCTTACTGGGTTCTTCTTTTCACATACAATATGGTAAAAAAAATCAATATATTTACCCCTGATTACATGATGGATTCAGATATTAAACCAGAAAGGAGAGCCAAGCTGCCCTCCTAGTAAAGAAACAAGAGCAGAACTGCACTGAGAGAAAAGAAAGCTGCTGCTCCACAGCATTGCTCAGCAAGCACCATCTTACTAAAAAAGAAACTGAGGATTGAAACTTGACAGTAAAATAATAAATCTGGGAAATAGCATGAAGGTCAGAGACAAAACCATCAGGGAAAGGAGAAGGAAGGTGGGAAGAAACAAGAGAGAACTTCAGCAGAAGTGCAGCTGCAAATTGAAGTGACTAAGGAACATGAAAGAGGAGGTGGGGTAATTGGATCTCTCAGTGGTAGGTGCCTAGGCAATTGCATGAGTGGATACAGGCAGCTCTATAGGACACAGCATTTGGTTGTCATTCAGGAGGAACTGCTATTAAATTCAAAGTGAGAAGAACAACAGAAAGAGACAGTTCAGGAAAGTTACTTTGGGAAGATTAAAACAGGAATTTCAGTCCAAGTCACTGTGGTGCTGACTATGTTAGCTACCTAACAGGGCTCTTTCCATTTTAATCTGGATTTTAGGCTTGACAGGAAAAAAAATATTTTCATCAAAGATATAAAGGGCAATATTTTCAAAAGTACCTATGTGTTTTTTTCAGAAATTGCTTAGACTCAGTCTCATAGAATCACAGAAGGGTTTGGGCTGGTAAGGATGTTAAGAGTTATCTAGATTTACTCCCCTGACACGGGCAGGGACAGCTTCCACTAGACCAGGTCTCTCAAAGCCCCATCCAGCCTCTCTTTGAACACTCCCAGAGATGGGGCATCCACAAGCCCTCTGGGCAATCTGTGAGAGGGCCTCACCAACCTCACAGTACAGAATTTCTTCCATATATCTAATTTTAACCTACTTTCTTTCAGTTTAAAGCCATTTCCTTTTGCCCTATCACCCTCTCCCCTTGTAAAATATCCCTCACCAGCTCTCTTGTAGACCCTTCAGGAACCAGAAGGTTGTTCTAAGGTCTCCCCATAGCTTTTTCTGCTCTTTCCCAGGCTGAACAATCACAGCTCTCTCACTTTGTCTTTATAGAGGAGGTACTCCAGCCCTCTGATCATCCTTGTGGTCCACCTCAGGAATCTCTTGAGGAGTTTTATTGCTGGGGTCCCAGAGCTGGGTACAGTGCTCTGGGTGAGGTCTCTCAACAGTGGAGTAAAGGGAGAAGGATGATACTGCCACTCCTTCTTTCATTAACCATAGAAGGACTCTAGACAATTCCATAGACCAGGTCTATGCTGGCAGTTTCAGGTGGAAAATGGTTAATTAAAATTATCCTCTGAGTACTTTGACAGGGCAAAAAAGGGATGCAGGATTATACATATCAGGAGGGCTAAAATAACAAAATACATTTTTATTGTTTAATCTGAACAAAGTGAGATGTTTTGAGGTAATTAGGTAGTCAAAATGTCTGAGTCAAGTAGAATCCCAGTCAAATAGTATATTTTTATTAATTTCTGACAGACACTTAGCATCTTCTCAGTTTGATTTTTTTTTTTCCTTCAGAAATGGAATTTTGCATCAGAAAATCATTATGATTTTTCTCCCAGCTCAAGGAGCACCATTAGGTGCTGGTATGATCTGCCAACTCTTTCTAGAACTGCTCCATAACTCTCTTAAAATTCATGGCCTCTTTTCTCCCCTTGGAAACTGAATATGAAATGTTGAATGCTTCTCCTATTCTGGTAAGGACAGCATGGCCAAAAGAAAAGTGTATTATCCATCCTATTACCAGAAAAAGATTTAATTAACTTCTTGTTTATTTTCACCTTTTAGTCATCTGTCAGTTGTTCTGTGATAATAATTCATTTTGGTTGGCTTAACACAAGTTAAATTTGCACAAAGTGAATTTGGCTCAACCTCAGCTGTATATGCCAGATGACAGGTAAATGTATTTGTCTTTATTGCAGGGTGGATTCCATAGAATCCCTTTGCTGGAAATTCAGGCATACTTAATACTGAACAAGAGTTTATGAAGAGACATTTAATTTTTATTTATAGCTCTCCTTAAATACCGTAAAAATCCACTCAGTGTTGTTTATGCTGAAGAATTTAGAAATTTTCAGTGCTTCTTTGTCCTCTGAAGTGCCACCTGGACATTCAGGTATAAGAGAAAAAAACCTAGAAATAATATTTTTCACAACAGACCATCTTTTCATTGTTTAGTAATTCTATCTTCCCTTTCTTTCTCCTTGCTAGCCCAGACAATACTCACATAAACTGAGATATATTTGCTTTGTAATTGAATTCCAGTTTAATGTATTACTGTAAAATATTTTTGAAAAAAAATCATAAGGGAAGAGGCCTCTACCAGTTTCCCAAACTGAAAAATAACTTCCCCTACATACACACCATCCAGATTTATTAGATCTATCTTCCTAACACAGAGCACAGGCTGCTGGCTAAAAAACAATAACTGATAGTTAACCTCTTGGGCTGGAGAAAAGATTCCACTTTCAATGTCTTTTGAGTTTGTTTTCCTTTCTGCTTGTGGCAAAACAGCAGAAAATGAGAAAATGTAAGGGATGTGCTTTCTCCACATATGAGTGCACAGCAGTTGGTGCTAGCAGGGATGGGGCAGTAGTAAATGGTGGCTGGGACATAATCGTGTTCAGTGGTCCCTGTTCCTTCTCTCTGGGTGCAGGTACCTGCAGAGTCCTCTTGTTCCTGGGTGCTGCCACCTTCTAGCTGGCTCTGAGTCTCATTTTCATCCTGGAGCCACTGCAGTATCATTTGTGAAAGAGGGTTCAAAATCTGCAGGCACAGTATTGATAGCAGTATCTGTTAAGCACTCTCTTGTTTTTGCTCCTCATTTAATGGTACATCTATGCATTTAATGTTGGTCTGAAAAGCTGGTCCTGTGTAGGCAAATTCGCCTTTTTTCTTTACTTTTTAATTGAAGCAAATCATATTCCTCTGATATCTTGTTTCCATGCCAAGTTTTCTCCAATTAAGAAAAAGAAAAAACAAGAATCCCCAGGCAACCCTGTTACTCTTAGTCATAATTAAACCATCACACCTGAAACATCCAGCAGGCTGCTTGTGAAATTTCTAAAGTACCAGGAGAAGCCACATTAATATCTTTGGGCTGTGTGCCAGCACACAGAGATGTCTAAGCTAAGAAGGGAACCAATACTTTATAGGAAAGAGAAAGGCATTTCCCGATTAAGCAATAAATGAATATGCATCTCAGAGAAAAAGTGGATAGTAGGATATAAAAATGTTGCTTTTGTCCCTCTGTAAAATGAGTCTGTCATTTAAACACAAGCTCTATTTTGTGAAAAATAAACATTTTAATGTTTTTTTTAATATGAAGCGTCTGTGTGATACATTACTGTGTTGCTTTGCCATGGGAATGGCTGAGGGGAGCCACTGAAGCTTTCATATTCTTTTTATTTGCAATAAGGACAATTCTAAGACACCTGATACAATTCAGAGAAAAGGCAAACAAACCCCAACCTATGGCACTTTGTAGCTTCATAAATGCATTTCTCAAAAAAGTTGCTTCTCTTTTTCTAGATCTGTTACAGAGAGCTGTAGAATCTGGGAGAGTCAATCAGCTGCCCTGGGGAGCCACTGAAGCTGCTTCACCAACAGTAGACAAGGACAGAATGAATGAAGTGAGATGTTTTTTTCCTCACAGTATTGCTTTAAATAAAAATATATTTCCAGGTAGAATATCTCACTGCAGAAGAATATGATTTAAACTCCTCTGTCTTCTTCCATGTGTTGCTAAGAACCCAGAGGCTTTATAATTACCTTGTAGCTGAAAAATCAATGGGTCAGTGGATGTAACTGGCCTCTACTGGTTGGAAAATACATGTTTTTGTTTTTTTTAAATGTTCCTAGACAAAGTTTTGAGATGGAAATAGTCAACTAGTAAAAAAAAAGGAAATAGGTGAGGGGGGAAAACCTCAACCCTCCTACAATGCTTGAAACTGGGAAGAACATTTGAAAGGTAATTTGGATTGTTTTTCTGAAGACATAATTTTATTTTCTCCTTTTCTATCTTCAGAAGAGGACTTTGTAATAGTGAAGTCATCTTCCTCATGGCAACAAATGCCTCTTAGAGGAGCTTTCCCTGATGCCTTGTATTATCAGCAACAATTTTTGTATTTCCCATGACATTCCCCTCACTCTTTTCCTAAAGATTATTATAAAAGATGGAAATCATTCTGTGACCCTGCCTTAATCCTGTGAAATAGATTATCCTTTTAGCCTGAAGTAATTTGCTCTTGCAGGAAAACACCCTTAACTTGGCATAACATTGCCTCTTACAGCCAATAATCAGAGTCATTAAATTGTGTTCTCGTTAGTGAAAATTCTAACCTCTGTTGCAAGTGTCCCTCGTTAGTGAAAATTCTAACCTCTGTTGCAAGTGTCCCAGCACAACAGCTCCAAGTCCTCAAAAAAAATTTTACATAAAATTAAGAAATGGGGTAAAAGCATGCTTCTTTTTGAATGCATCATGGGTATATATATATATAAAATTATTATATAATATAATATATATATATAATTATTATATAATATAATATATATATTTATATGCATCACAGGTGTAAATAATTATTATATAATATAATATATATATTTATATGCATCACAGGTGTAAATATTAGTGCTTTGAAAGATACACCTGCATACTCCCTAAGACTGGGGTGTAAAACCACCTTTACACGGGAGTTTTCACACACAGATCTGAGGTGCTTGTAAGACAGTGGTAGTGCAAGAGCTTGCATTTGTGCTGTTATAAATGAAGCCTGAGTTTTGGAGATTAAAAGTTGGATGGTTCCAAATTACATTGGGGTACCTACATGCCAATCAAATTTTACAAAAATCAGATTACAAATCCAAATTTTTAGATTTTCACCTAAATTTTTAACTATTGTTTCTAACTGCAGCACCTGAAGTGCTCACCTCAGGCTGTGTGTGGAGGGGAGGCGGCTGCAGAGGGTGGTTGGTACCAGGCAGGATCTGGAATGCACTCTGGAGCATCATTCCCACCCAAAAACCTGCAGAGGGAGCAGAGAATGACGAGGTCTCTGATTTAGGCAGGTCAGAGAGATGCCCGAAGCTGGAGGAAGTGCAAGTAGACTGATGTTCTTTCTTGAATTTTAGCATTAATTACCTTTGTCAGAACAATTCAGAAAAATTCTTGATCTCTTCTTTATCATTAATTTTCTTTATAATTTAATGATGCCTCCCCCAGCCCAGCACTGTGCCAATGTTACTATCTGCAAAGCAGGGATGTATACAGGATTTAAATTCTCACAACCACTGCAACTAAGCAAATGTTGCTGTCCTATTTTGTATGTGGGGAAATTGCAGTGCAGAAAAAAATTAACCAACTTGCCTACAAGGTACCCTATGGCTCAACAGATTAAACATTAATGCAGGATTTCATTGAGTATAATTCTGCTCTGGGATTTCTGTTTGTTCATTTGCTTTGTTTGGCAGAGGTTTGAAGTTTTGATGCTCTTTTTCCTCAGTTTTGCTAAGAGCAGTTTTTATGTTACCTTTGATTCTTAATGCTTGAGGGTGGCTTTAAAATTCTGGTTGAATTGGAATAGGAAAATCTTCTGTATATTGGATCAGTTCATTTCAAAGCCAGAAAAGCTGCTTTAGTCAGTGAACGAGTGCTTATAGCAACTCTTCCATCATTCCCCCCAGCCTGTCTGATTTAACTCATTCAGTGTCCTGAGTCATTGGGAAAGCTGAGAGTGAGATGCACCTTATTGCTGTGTCACTGCACCACTGCCTCTGGCATGCTGGCCACAAGCATTGAAACACTTCATTCTTCTTAATCTAATCTATAATTTTAATGAAACTATCAAAATTTAGTTGTGTGGTTAACACATTTTTCATTCCATTGTGTTACTATACCTACCTTAGGACAATGTAATCAAGTCAAATAATGTGCTAATTCTGCCAGTTTCTGAACCTCTTCTACATTGTTTGCAAGAAATTTGATTGGCATAGTAAGATTGAGACACTGAACTTCTCAGCCAAAATTATCACTTGCTCATGAGAACACGTGGGTTTATAATAGGAATTTTTTAGTTAGAGGATTTATTCAGTCAGATAGGCATTCAGATTCTTATTTCGGGTACACTAACTTGAGTAGTTGCATATTTTTCTCATTAAGATATTTTTCTTCTTAATTTTTGTGGAATGAAGGTTTACAGCCAATTGTTATTTAATGGTTTTTAATTATTTATATTTCATAACCCTGAAAAGTTGCAATGACATTTTCTGGATTTCCTCTATTATTCTGCATAATTTATTCTGAATTGAAAGAGAACAGCACTAAATTGTACTAGTTCTCTCCAGTAATGAATAGCTCTTGAGACAGGGTTTTTTTTTCTGAAACTAATTATTGACTTATGTCTGCTTCTATCAGTATCAAGAAAGATTTTACAGGTTTTAAAAAACAAGCCCAGGTAAAAGTTTTGTGGTATTTGAATTAACAAGGATGGGACACAATTTGATAAAAATGGCCAAAATAATGAAAAATAACGAATCTGAAATGAGAAACTATAGCAATTTTGATACAAATATAGACAGGGACTCCATTTATTCTTTCTCATTTACATTACTTGTCTACATACAGAAAAAACAGTAAAGATGGTTCTTTACTTGCCCTCTGGGCAAAACCAGTGAGCTATACAAAGCATTTTCTTCCGCTTTTTCAGACTACTTTAATTGGGTAGTTTGATTAAAATCTCTGTTTAGATGGAGAAATTGAAGATATTGCATCTGAATGAGTGCATGGGCACAAGGGGAAATATCCTAAGGATATTGCAGCTGTTTACAGGGATAAAGAATATATAGATTTTTTCCCTCACTAAATTGTGGGGTTTTTTCTTAGCATTATCTTATTACCCATTGTAATTTTTCTTCTTTCTTTTGTCTGTTTTCATAAGAGTCTGCTTGACTGAGGTCTTCCTTTTCACCTCAAGAAAAAAGAACAATATAGCAATGGATGAAATATGCTCAGAGAAGACAAATTAAAACTGAACAATTGGAGTGGAAGAGAAACACATGTCTAAAGAGAAAATGCAATAGAAATGCTCTCAGAGAAAATATTAAACTGAAGTTCTGAAACATCTATATGTTGATTGATCCTTGTAGGCCAAGTCATGGTCCTTTAGCAGGAATTTCTCAGTTCACTGTCAGAGACCAGGATTGGGACCCACCACAGTGATGATGGAAGAGGATCATGGGCAAGTGGGAATCTCCTGAAGTCTGGGGCGTTAGCTGCCTTATTCTGAGTTTGTTTCACTTGCATTTTCATGCCAAGCAGATAATAAATCTGGCAAGGGAATACTTTCTAGGAAAAGATGTTTCTGTAGAAGGGAATTTTCCAGTTCTGTAAATGGTGCTAGAAAGTTTGGTGTAGGAAATTAGATTTATATTTTTGGGACTTTAGGTACTTAATGTTGCTGTTAGGTATCCAATGGTTCTAAAAGGCACTTCCAGCTGTCTGCAGGTCTTCCTGCTGGCTGCTGCAAATGTGGAAACCCAGAGGAAGTCCTGTCTTATCAGGAATACTGATCAAAGGGGAGATTTAAAAAAGAAAATCTTGATTGAAAAAAATAATAGAAAAGGCAGTGGTTAAGGACCACTAATTTTTCAGTTCATCTCAGAATTATAGAAAAAATTGAAAATAAAATACCATTCCTGTATTTTATCTCATGAAAAATTATGCCCTGAAGGATGCTTAAAATTAGTTTTCCCACTCAATTATAAAATGTCACCTCATAATGCTGCTTTCATGAGTGCATGTGCCCTTGTTGTTTAACAGAACACATAATCAAAAAATATTTTCAATACTCAGAATTAATTTTCCTTTTCATAGCTTTAATTCAGAGCTAACAATAACCTTTTGGTCTTCCAGTTGGCCATTAATTTATCCTCCTTTGTTTTAGTCTGCACAGATCAATAAATCTTATACATAGGCACAGACTGACTTGCAGAAGTTGAGAATTCCCAGCCTTGCTTCATGTGAAGATGGATACAAATATTGTCACTGAAATTTTCTTTTTCAGGCCTGAAATGTTCTATTTATTTCACTGTTATGTCTGAGGAAAGAAATAGAATAACCAGACAGAAAATGCCAGCTGAAGTCTGAGACTGGTCCTCCTCTGCCTGAGAATCTCACTTGGAGGAAGCATGGAAACCTAATTCTTCTTATGTGTAGTGATTTATTTTCTTAAAGGCTTTATCTTCTTTTGTAACTGCAGTAAAACCTGATTCTAACTCCATGTCTGATTAACATTAGAATATTTTTGTCTGGTATTTGTATTCATCACCTGTTTCAGTAAGACAAATGGGTTTCTTTTGTTCTGCAATGTAATGGTGTTTTAGACAGTTTTTATGGATTCCTCTCCCCTCCATTATCCTTAGTACATGTGGCAACTAAAATTTTTCTGAAAGATATCAACAGACATACTAAACATTCATGTTATTAGATTGAAAGGACAAGTGTCCAAGAAGCAGCAGCTGAAGTTCAATAAGCTGATGAGACATTGTCTATTAAGTGACAAACACCTGTCTTAAAAATCTGATTTTATCTGTATAGGACTAATGCTCTTCAAATCCAGCTTAATTGAGGTCTGCATGCAATGTTCTCTGATCACTCAAGTAAGGAACTATGATTCATTATCTTTCAGTATTCACCTGGTTCAGGAATTCTTCATGGTATAACAGCTTTAAGAAACACAGAGAAGATTAAAAAAATCAAGGTGGGGTTTTTTACACTGTGAGATTTCATACCTACCATTGTAAAAAGAGCACTGTTCTATTTATTTTCCCAGAAGGAATATTATCTAGCATTAGGAGTTTGCAGTAATAGTTTTCTCTGGTAGATCTGTGTCTGATTTCCACCACAAGTCAAGTGCATTAAGATTTTTGTTTGTTTGTTTGTTTGTTTGTTAGTTGTTTGTTTTTACCTGTCACTCTAAATACAGTCTGTTTTTTTAATGAACAGAAACTCTTGATCTTTTACAGCTCAGAAAATTGTCAGAAGTTCCATGATTTCACTTCGATTCTCCTACTCAGGGAGAGAGCAGCAGGCATAGGATGGATACAGCTGAGGATATCCTCGAGGTGGTACCAATAAAGGACCCACAGCAGCTGGGAGCTGCTCCTTGGGGAGGGGACAAGCACTGGAGATGGTCAGAGAGCACTGGGACTGAACTGGGAGCCCAGCAGAGTGTGGGAGGCAGGTGTGAGGAGCTGAGGCAGAGCCAAAATCACAGAGGGAGGTGGAGGAAGGAGAAGTGGAGGTGGGGACAAGTGGAACAGCAGGAGTTGTAGGAAAGATCTCTGATCATGGAAGCAAAAGCAGAGGTCTGGAAGTCAGAAATGGGGGCACAGATTTGTAGAAGAGAATGAGCTGGCTCAGGAGTGGGAGAGGGGGAGCAGCAAGTGTTCCAGGGCTGGGGAGCCTTGGGGGAAGCCCAGAGGGGCTGGAGAAAGCAGCAAATCAAGGAGGAGGTGGATGTCAGGAAAGAAAACTAAGCATTAGAAAATTTAGAGAACATAAACCTCAGTGGCAGCATCTATGTATGTATGGTACAGGTACACCTCAAAAGGATAGACTGGTCAAAGTCTAATATTTTTTAATCTTTGAAAACTAAAATGTGAATATAATAATTTCTATCAAATGCTTAAATTTCTTATTGTTTGAAAAACCTGGCAAAATTATTTCCTCACCTGTTCCTCTGACTTCACCCTATGTTGAGATGAATGAGTATTTTAATGAACTCAATTCTCTTTTATATCATTAAATATATTCATACTTGATAATATGCATCAGTCCTTTCTGTGGGGGAGATTATTACTAGAAATAATGCAGTGCATTAGAATTGCATTAGAATGTAGATTTAGACCATATTTAACTTCCTCCTGAGCTCTGTGTTGTGCAAGCAGTGTACAAAATAGATGTAGTCCAAGGTAAAACCTAACAGGAGCTCATGCCTGCAGGGGTCAGCAAAGAAGCTGCTCAAGTTCTGCCCCCCCTAAATCTGCTATGATTTCCTTTGCTCTGTGGAGCACAGGATGTTTGGGTAGAACCAGCACACACAATCTGAATTAATCAGTCAGCTCAGTGTTAATAATTCAGTGCAAATTACAGTGGTCTGAACTGCAAATGTACTTATGAAAGTCAACGGTAGAGCTCTCTTTCACTTTAAAGCTGCAAAAATTTAAATCTCAATGGAAAAAGATAGGAAATCTCAGAAATCTATGGTGTTATACTGGGAGTCACACTTGAAGTGTGACCTTGTGTGTTTTAATGAGTCAGCAGCTGATGGAAAGAGGATGTGCAACAGGATCTTTCTCCTCTAAAGGGTGTTTAGTAGTTTTGGGTTATCTGAGCTTCCTGTGGGATGTTCTGCATGCACAAGTATTTAAAGACAGACCTCTAGCTCTGGGAGATAAGTAACATTAGACATGATGGAAGAATAATATTCTTTTCTCAAAGGTAAAAATATGAGGACCTTTGGTTACATTTCAAATCCATTCTCACTACTAAATGGGTTTTCTTTTAACTCCAGCCTTTCTGCAAAAGAAAAATCTATGTCAGTAAAATTCTTTGTCAGAAAACCATTTGCTTCTGACCAACCCATGTTCTTGTGTGTTTGAGCCAACAATAAGGAACTGAAACACAGCCAAGGAGCAACGTGGTTTGCTTGTTTCCACTGTGCAGCAAAGGGACTGAGATTGGCCAACTCAGCTGAAATTAAACTTCTCATTTGAGGTCAACAAAGTAAAATATTTCAGAATTTTTACATTTTTCATGACTTTTTCATAGACTGAATACTGCAGTACCAGTTATTTTATGTGTTACTTAAAACATGTCAAATTCCTGGCTGATGTGAAAGATTTTTTTTTTGGTCACCTCTGTATTAAATGTGAAATGATAACTCAGAAGGTAAAGTGTTTCTTATATTCTTAAATACAGGTAGTAATGGTGTTTTGTAGAAAAATGTGCACATTCTGGACTCTTTTTTAAAAAGAGAATATCTCTGCTGAGAAATCAGGAAATTACACTGGGGACCATTATTCTCATCCTTCTTGAAGTGCAGTTCTCAATAAGAACCACAGCTGATGCTCTGGTTTGTGAGTGGGAGAGGCCATTGTCCTGTATCCAATAGAGAATATGAATCACTTATGAATCCTCCTTTAACCTTTTCCTTTTTCTCTTCAATACCTTGGGGTAGGAGAGCTATTCCAGTTCCTACTTTCCTTTTAGCATCACTGTTGCCTAGTGAATTGTTCCCTATCCAGTATTTTTGCAATTTATTCTTCCTGCCCAGGTGTTAAACTTTACAGCTGTCTTTATTGAATGGCATCTATTTTTTTTGTCTGGAATATTTTCTCAGTGTGCCAAAATAATTTTGAATTTTAGACCTGTCCTCCAACATTCTTGAGACCCTTCTCTGCTTTGAGTCACTTGTGATTTTAAGAGCTGTATTTTCTATGCTACCATGCACTTTGATAATGCTTTTTATAATTAAGGTGTATGTCAAACTAATTTATTGTAGTCATTAAAAAGAAAAAAAAAATCCAAAAAGATAGTCAGGGGAAATCATTATTCTTTTGGCAATAACACATTCAGATACTCAGCATCACCTATTCTAAACTGAGAAATAATCTTTCATTCAGGACCCTCAAATCCCCCTAAGATTTTCAGACGGAATGTAGCCTGGAGCAATGGAGAACAGAGAGCTCCCAGGTTAATTGGCTGTGTTCTGCAGCATGTGCTGCGTATACAAAGGCCCAGTCTTGCTTGTCCCACAGGAATATTTGATAATATACTCAATTTGTGACACTAATAGCAAATAAACTGTTCAAAAGAAAATGAAATTTGATTGCCTTCAATTCCAGGAATATAGAGGTTTGTTTACCCAAGTCACACAATTTCTGGTCCCTAAGAATGAATCAAATAATTTAATGCTTTTGGACCTGGGCTCTGATATGCTGAATTTTACCAAAGGCTCTGTGCCTGGTGTAACTTATATTCAGCATCTTTGCCAAGGGGAATTAGAGTCACTTAATGTATCCAAACCCAATATGCAATCAATGCCAGAGGGCATTTCTTCCTCTCAGCAGAGAGAGACTCACTGGATAAAGAGGGAGACAGGAGAGCTGCTAAAAAGTGTGTGTGGTCACAGCAGGCTGGAATGAACCTCACCCCACAAAGTCTCTTTGCACAGTCACCTGTCATAATGTATTTCTATATCCATGGACACTTAGATGATTTTCAAGCCTCAGTTCTTTTGGTAATAATGGAGAAGTGGATTGAGAGCATAGCAAATAAATTAAATTACTTATGTAGGAGGCAGTGAAATATGACTAAATGCATTGGATCCTCTTGTTCCTGATGATGCATCTGAATCATTCACCTCTTCTGAGCCATTCAGGTTCCTGGTGGACACACTCCTAGGAGAGAGGTTTAGCTGAAAACTACCTACAAGGAAGTATATGCTTGAGTAAATCTAATTTAGAAATCATTAGCAATCATTATGGAAGCCTTGTTTAT